AGAGAGAAGGGGGGGGGAGGGGCCACTTAGACCATGGGGTATCGAACTCGGTCCCGCAAGAAGCGCGTCCGTCGCTGTACTGACAACAGCGTTCATTAACCATGCAGTCGTATAACTGAGCTCCGGCATTACATTTTTTAATTAGTTGCAATCTATTTTGGCGAGACGCGAGAGCTTCACATTCACGCCCAAAAATAATGTCTGCAAATTGAGAAGACTTAGTGATGCGAGGCTGCAATCATTTAGTTATTACTGCCCTGGGGGGTGGGGTGTACGCGTGTGTATACATACGCACACGCAATCGCACGCACGCATATACACGCAAATACACACACACACACACACACACACACACACACACACACACACACACACACACACACACACACACACACACACACACATAAACACACACACACACACACACACCTGTTGATTGACGGTTGAGAGGCGGGACCAAAGAGCCAGAGCTCAACCCCCGCAAGCACAATTAGGGAGCACTCTTGATTCTTTCTTAACCAACTTATACAGTTTGAAACATATTACGGTTTATATATAATAATCTCAGCCTCAGTTTATATATAATAATATATATATATATATATATATATATATATATATATATATATATATATATATATATATATATATATATATATGATCAAAATCACATAATTACGAACAAAAACAGTACTCAACCCCTTATATAGCTTGATTTATATCCAATATAACAAAGCTATAATTGATAGATATTTTTAATATTAATTGAATAAGTTCGTAATCCATTTAATTGCCCAATTTTTAGTATAATACTAACAAACTAAAAACGAATTATTTCCATTTTATATATATGTGTCTTTGATGAAAATTATATATATATATGATATTACAACAAGGACGGCATTATTTTACACCATGAAAATATACATATATTTATAAATGCCGGCATTAGCAAACACTAAACATAAATGTTTAAAACATTTTATGTTTTGAAATGTTTCTGGAATTTTTTTGTACATGCCAGTTCGGATTGGCCGCTTCACAGCCCTCAGCCGAACATTTTGGGCTTGCTGGGGGAGGAGAAAATATGCGTAGGATAGTAGGATAGTAAACAAATGCCTCTATCCCCACAAAATACCTCCCTCACACCTCTCCCATAGAATGCCTCTCCCCCTACACCTGTCCCATATAACGCTTCTCTCCCATCTCTTCCACACTAAACCGTTCCCATGCAAATCTCCTCCCACAACAGCGTCCATGAACGCCCCGGGGCGGCGGCTGGAAGCACTAAAAACACAGATAACAGCTGACTTTTTGCTCGCTGCAAAATTGCCCAAAAGGTTTGGAAGTGAGGTTCTAAATCCACCAGAATGGACGAGAGATTTACCGGTGAAACAACACGGTAGATGAGAGAGGGGTGGGGCGGGGTAGTGAGGGGGTAGTTAGTGGTGATAGTGAGGGGAAGTTGTGGTGATAGTAAGGGGGAGTTATGGTGATAGTGAGGACGACGAGAGGTGTGACCAAAAGGAGGAGGCATTATCACCATCACCACCATCACTATCATCATCACACGACAAATTGCTGCGTTCACTCAGCAGTGTCCAGCAGCCTGAACGATACCGGTTCGCTGCCGACGACACCCAAAAGTTGAGGACAAAAGTTCCCCCTTCGGTATATTTTCCCGAAGTTGGTCGTCCTCTGGGTTGTCTTCCATAGCAGACTCTTGCTGGTCTTCCACGACCAACAGCAGACTCTTACTTATCACCCACAGCAGACTCCGGCTTCTCATTTACAGTCAACTCTTGCATGTCTTCCACAACCATCTTTCGCTCTTCCATAAGTAAACAATCTCATGTCCAGGCTCGAATTTACCCAGGTCTTTCCTGAATTAAAAATACATCCAGTTAATATGCATTGTATCGTGTTCTAGTGAGGCGAAGATAAATTTAAACCTTTTGTATAACCTCTTTGGTTATCCGAAACCCTTTTCAGCTCTTTGAAACCCCCCTTTCTCAGCCCTTTGAAACCTCCTTTTCAACCCTTTGTATACGTCAGTCATGGCACCCCTTTTCTCTCCAAGTCTTTCTAGAGAACGTAAATTATCTCTTCATAAGAGAGACTTCTAATTGCTAAGTTTTACCAAGTCCTTCTTTTCTCATATGATCAAGTGATGTTCATTCTATAGTTCGCAGACTATATCTAAACTGCTTAATCTAAATAAGAGTCTAATAAGGGCAAGATAAAGAGTCTAACAAGAGCAAGATAAAGAGTCTAACAAGAGCAAGATAAAGAGTCTAACAAGAGCAAGATAAAGAGTCTAACAAGAGCAAGATATAAGATAATAGTAGATACCTTATTGTTAACATTTCCGGAAATAAATCCCAGTGTTCTATTTCCTTTATTCCTTTACATTTATGCATTGATTTTCTTATTATTTAAATTCCTACTAATTATGACTTCCAAAGCGTTTATATTAAAATTTAGCAGTTTGAACATTTATCTTGTAACCATTGTTACCACCTTCGCTATGTGATATACGTATCGTAAGTATACGTATTACGTAAGTATTCAATATACGTATTTCAGTAAGTAATACTTATCATACGAAGCAGAGGGCATAGTAGTGAAGAACGATTTGATGACAGAGAGAGAGCAGCATCAGAAACCCAGCAGCAGTAGCAGCAGCATCAGAAACCCAGCAGCAGTAGCAGCAGCAGCAGAAACCCAGCAGCAGTAGCAGCAGCAGCTGAAGCACCCAGCAGCAGTAGAAACACCCAGCAGCAGTAGCAGCTGAGAACGCTCCGGCCTGATAAGTGAACTACATCTAGGGGTGGAGCGTTCCCAAACTTCTTATCGAGGGCACTATTGCCGGAATATGTAAATGAGAACACAGGTCAACACCAGCTGCGCTCGTAAAACAAATGTTGCATAGTGTTGCAGTCAAGATGCAAGTGTCCCTAAGCAACACTTGCATTTTGTAGCGGATAGTTTGTGACCATCACCAAGCGGATAGTTCTGACCAGGGAGCCGGTCGGCCGAGCGGACAGCACGCTGGACTTGTGATCCTGTGGTCCTGGGTTCGATCCCAGGCGCCGGCGAGAAACAATGGGCAGAGTTTCTTTCACCCTATGCCCCTGTTACCTAGCAGTAAAATAGGTACCTGGGTGTTAGTCAGCTGTCACGGGGCTGCTTCCTGGGGGTGGAGGCCTGGTCGAGGACCGGGCCGCGGGGACACTAAAGCCCCGAAATCATCTCAAGATAACCTCAAGATAACCTCAAGATAGATCCGTTGATGAAATTTGCCCACGGTGAATATACATGAAGTTCCTTGGTGTATTATGTAGTTCAGTATGACAGGGGTGTCGTAGGGGAGGAGGCAAACTGAGGGGTCTGGGGTCGAGGGTGAGATGAATTGATGATTCGATTCCATAAAACTAGCGATAAGGAGAGAATCAAGAGAGAGAGGAGCATGGAGACGATACACATAAAGGGGAGAGGGGAAGCAAAGCGTCGCTCGGTCGTTTACAAGAAGTACAGCATGAGACTAGATACCTCCCAGGAGGGGTTTAGATAGCCTGGAACACATTAACCTAAGGATCCGAGACGTGCGAAAGATTAACAAGTGATATGACGATATAACTTTCTGTTCTGTACGCAAGCGCAACTTATTTTGTCTTTCGAAAGGAAAAAAAATTATATTGAGAATGACGGGAGTCAACTGGCCGGCCCGAGGCTGACAGGACCCGTTAAATACATAGAGAAAGACGTGTTCAGGGAGCGGAACTCCCCATCTCGAGGGCTCTGTAATAACACACAGGAAAATGGCCGTATGTATGTTGCTTGCGCAGTGCGCTGATAAAGGGTAGGGGAGTAAAAGATGCAGCAGCTGATAGGAGGGGATGTAATAGTCTCGAATTCAGATCATTAACCACTAATATATCGGTAGTGTAATGAAGGGAGGATATTGAACGGGGGGAAAGGAAGGGGCGTGATCACTGACAAGTCAGGTGTCTGTAGCTGCTGTAACTGTAGCTGTAACTGTAGCTGTAACTGTAGTTGTAACTGTAGCTGTAACTTTAACCAAGGTCGGTGGATCTGGAGACTTGGGGAGCGCCTCTAATTATATGTGGACAGTGCAGGCGATGAGTCACAATAACGTGGCTGAAGAATGTTGACCAGATCACACACTAGAAGGTGAAGGGACGACGACGTTTCGGTCCGTCCTGGACCATTCTCAAGTCCTGGACCGGTACAGGAGCGGGGCTGTAACTGAGGAGGTGTCCGAGGCCATGGAGCTCGTAATGAAACTTGGCCTCTTGTGGTGTGAACAGGACAACAACACTTACACTTGCGGGGCTCGAAGCAGGTGCTAATGAGATTGCGTGTTTGCGGCCTCAAGTCTGACTTTGTTAATCTTTTGTTGCTCGGGGGGACAGTCTTGTGTCTTGTGCCGGTGGTGTCTGCTGCAGCAGCATCTTGGGCCAAAGGGGTAGTGTCTGCTTGAGCACAATCTTGGGCCCAAGGGCTGTGTCTGCTGGAGCAGCATCTTGGGCCAAAGGGGCGGTGTCTGCTGGAGCAGCATCTTGGGCCCAAGGGGCGGTGTCTGCTGGAGCAGCATCTTGGGCCCCACGGGGGGTGTCTGGCGAAGGAGTACCTGGAACCCCAAGGTCCCGTAGGACTTTGTCTTCCCACCACCACTGTCCAGGACTTGCTCGTGTAACTGAATTCTTTTTCTTGCTCACATAATCTTCAGCTCTATTGTTGCTCTTTTTGACTCTTCTAGATTCCTCAAAGGTGTTGTTTATCACCGGAACCTGTTCTTCCTTACCTTCTTAAACAGACAGTGAGCTGCTAAAGCTCTCGACCCCATAACGAAGTCGCAACAAAACAGGTTTTTTTCGCAAAAACTTTTCTTAGAGTGGAGAGCCACTCCCAGACGACCATTTACCGTTGAAGGTTGGCACTTCCATGAGGCCCTCAACCGTGGCACTCATGGCGGCATGCCACGGCAACCTCTCTATAAATCTCCATCCAAGAAAAAAAAACGAGAAGGAAGCGAATGTGTAAAACAAACATGTATAAGAATCCTAATCTAGTAAAAAGGGACCGAGCAATATCCCGGCTGAACGCGGCCGACTTAAGCTGAGGACATCGTGTAGTTGTGAGGGGAAATTGTGCCTTTTGGGGAGGCTGTGAGGGAGGGGGAAGGAAGGTAGGGGGGGGGAGGGAACCCCTTCCCTCCCTCTATGGGGAGGGAAGGGGTTACTCTCAAGGCTTCATGGGAAGGGAAGGGGGTTACTCCTAAGGCTTCATGGGAAGGGAAGGAGTTACTCTCAAGGCTTCATGGGAGAGGAATGGGTTGTTGACCAGACCACACACTAAAAAGTGAGGGGACGACGACGTTTCGGTCCGTCCTGGACCATTCTCAAGTCGATCTGGGTTGGAGGAATGGGTTGCTCCCAATTAATATAACGCTCCATGGAAAAGGGTTGGATGGGTTTCCTACCAACGAATCCATGGAAGGGAAAAGGGTTGGCCCCCAAAGCACAGTGGGATGGAAAGGAGGCTGGTCTACCTGGACAGCCCTAAGGTACGGTTGAAAGCGTCCACCACAATAGATAATCTTCCCTTTTTTACATTTTTATCCTCGACTGGTTGTAGGGAAGCCTGGTCTTCTTCGTGTAATCTGATTATATTTGTCATATATTAAGGAAGCCTGATCTCTCTCTCTCTCTCTCTCATTTATATCCCATTAATCGAGCTTGCCTGTTGCAATTCTCGACATAAATCCATTCTGCAGACCCACATTTTAAACCAACTCTGCTCAGTCTCCAAATAATTGACCTCAATCCGCCCATAGATAAGCCGTTGGGACAAACAGGGCAATTTATGTGTTGCAGAGCCATGAGTTTTGATGAGCTTGCAATGTCACTCACAGCGTATAGAACACTAGTGAACCGGAGAGAGGGAAGTGTTCGCTCTGGGGGTTCATATTGTGAGTTCGAGGTCCAGTCGTTGTTGTTGTTATAGATTCAGCTACTCGGAACAAGTTCCAAGTAGCACGGGCTATGGTGAGCCCGTAACTTACCTGGCACAGGAGCGGGGCAAGTAGCACGGGCTATGGTGAGCCCGTAACTTACCTGGCACAGGAGCGGGGCAAGTAGCACGGGCTATGGTGAGCCCGTAGTGGACTTACCTGGCACAGGAGCGGTGCTGAAACAGGTCCAGTCTGTTGACCAGACCACTCACTAGAAGTTGAAGGGACGACGGCGTTTCGGTCCGTCCTGGACCATTCTCAAGTCGATTGTGGTCCAGTCTTTATGGGGGTTCTGTTATACGATACGTGTCAGAACACATACGTACGTGAACACGTGTTCTTCATGACTTTTAACAGTTCTTCAGATTACTTCTGGCAAGTAGTAACGGGCGGAATGTTTATCTTGACATAAGTGTGTAATATTTTACGATACAGTAGGTTTGAATCGTCAAAATCAATGGTTTCAATTTGTGTTTTCTATA